GGCCCGGCGGCCCGTCCCACCCGCCTTATATCGCCGGTCTCGCCGCGGCAACGCCAGCGCCGCCCGCCAGCCCGGCCCGTCGCGGCCACCGCACCGCACAGCCCGTTCCGTCCCGCCCGGCCCGAGGTGAGAGGGGCTCTGGGGGGGGATGGCGGGCCGGAGGGGATCCGGGTGGGGGATTTGACCGAGAAACGAGCGGAACCGGGAACGTGACGAGGTGTCGGGAAGGTCCTTTCCCCCGGCCCGGGTAACGCTTGGGGCTGGAACACCTCGGAGGGGGGGGAAGCCGGATCGGGTGTGCCTGCGGGGAGGTGCATCGTCCGCAGCTCTCGCCTCCTCCACAGTGGATTTATTTCACTTAAGATATTAAGGCTTTCTTTTTCGTTTGTTGTTTTGGGTTTTTTGTTTGTTTGTTTGTTTTTTCTTCCTCCCCCCGTCCCCCGTCCCACTTAGGAACTGGGGATGTGTCGCTGTTACACTCAGAACTGCTTATTTTATAAATCACATTAAGAAAGACAAAGCATGCTAAATAAAGAACCTTCTCCCAATAGGGAGAAAAAGGTCTAACAGCATTGGTTGCCGAGAGGGACACTTTGAAACTTCTGACAACAGTCTTACTAGAAAGTCTGTTGCTGTGGCATGAATGGTTCACTCTTACAGTCAGTGCCTCTGTTCATTAAAACTGGGGAAAACAACTCTTACTTCATGTTCTCTTTGCGTGTCGGATGTGTATGCGTGTCACTTCTTGCCCTTGTAGAGAAGCTTCTGAGCTTAATTTTTGGATCTGTGCCTTTGAATTTGGCTTTTAGGGAGGGGATTTGAAGTTCTTTTCTGACACTGTTTTTGCTGGAAATGCAAAGCTACTTCTGAGAAATGTTTGCAAAACCTGCTGTGGTGCCAGATTTGATTTCTTGGAGAGTCTGAGAAAATTTTAAGGCTGCTTTGACGTGACCCTTCTGATCATTATCTTTTGTGAGGTTGAGAAGGATTTTTTTGACTGCTGTTCTTAACCTTCATCTTCTGATTATTGTATTATGTTTGGCAAAAGTTTTTTCTTTCCTTCTGTTGATTATTAATAACGGAAGATAGCAAGTCCCGTGATCATAGCTGTAGAGGGCTTGTACTTTCATAAATGCAGCTTAGTATCTTGTTAAATCTAAAGAGGCTTAACTAATATGTATTTAGAGTATTTTTTTTAAATATGTGGGTATGAAGACTTTGTGTGTTTACATAAAAAAATAATTGTATGCGCCAAAGAAAATGTAGGAAAGATGTGACTGTTTTCTGGCAATGGGTATGTTTTCACATGCTACACAGGGGTGTAAAAGGAGAGAAAACACATTTCTTGTGAGCGGCCCTTTGCAGGGGCAGAGCTGAGGCTGCAGCTCATCCCACAGCCCTCTGTGTGTCATGACAGCCATGTGTGATGTGACCAACTGCATGATTTTGCTGCCTTGCTGTCCCCCATGTCCTGTGCACCTGCTTCTGGCCACAACTACCCTGTGTGCTGCCCTGAGTTTCTGTCACTGGGGTTTGCAGCAGCAGCATCTGCTGATGACCAGCATCATCCCCACCTTCACTTCTAAGTGCAGAAATATTTGCCAGATAACACCAGGTAACGCTGACTTCTGTCTTCTCTTAAGACTCTTGCTTTTTGGGTAGCAGTGTACTTTTAGTGAATCCAGTTTTTCTATATACTTCAAGAATTAAACACACCGTGAGTATGAAAATATCCACTGCTAGTAAACAGCAAACTGCCAGACTGTGCTGGTATTACAGTACATGAAATGTGGATCTTTGGATGAGATGTGGTGGTGGTGGCTATTTCTAAGTGGTAAGACCAGCAGCCAATGGCCGAGGTTGTTCTTGATGCTGAGCCTGGCAGTGGCAGAAGTAAAGACATCCTTCCCCTGCTTCCATTTCACCATGAGTGAGCTGGAGTGCAGCAGCAGTTTGGGCCTGCTGGCTGTGGCTTCAGGGTAAAAGCTGTTACTGATGTCACCTTTTCATCTATTTTTGTCTCCAGTTTCTATAAGGAACCATTTTTGGATGACTGCCCACGGGGTAGACTCGGCGGCGATTGATAGTAATTGCTTGAAACTTGGAGGAAAACTGTTGAGGGTCATCATTAGCAAAATTTAATGAGATTGTAGCTGTTCAAGTCTATGTTGATAAATATTCTGGATGTTGGTGACGCTGGATGATGGGTAATCTGTCCCTCAGCTGGAAGATTTCTGACAGAGGCTAAGGAGAGGAACTGAGTTTAAGAAGTGCAAAACCCATCAACTTCCTCCTTGGAGCAGGGGAGGGGAGTGAGTTGGTGCCAGTGGGGATCACGTCCCTTCCCTGCAGCCGGGAGCTGTCTTCTTCAGAGCTGGTGGACACTGAGGCTGGGAACAGCTCTCTGCACACCAGAGGGATGGTGATCTTTGAGGAGGAAAAAAGAAATGATGTGGCACACTTCGGGTTTTTTTTCTGCACGTTTTAAAAAAACAAAACTCAAGTCTTGCTTTTTGCAACAGGTTGATGTGGAGAACCAAACAAAAAGGAGCAGCTGAAACACTGTGCAGAGAAACAAGTGATGCAGAGTGGTGATTTGAGTTTGCATGATGTGTCACTCCCCAGCGCAGTTCAGATAAAATGAAAAATAGAAAGCATTCATCTGACTAACTGCTTTCTCTTTTCTCTCAGGGCAGGGTAAACACAGTTGTTTTGCTTCCTTCTGTCTCAGTCTAATATTGTCTTTTCCTCGTGTCCAAGGCAGCCCCCTGGACAGATCAGTAATCTTCATTTCCTCTACCTCCCGCGCTGCTCTGCTCATTTCCGTTCACCGCTGTTTGTCCGGATGGTCTCTGGGGGCCGGGGGGGGTAACTCAGAGCCCGGGTGAAGGAGCCGTAGCCTTGCTCCTCTCTCTGCTCTTTCACTTCTGTCATTTTGTTCCTTTGAGCCGACCTCAGCTAGCTAGGTAGCAGGTTCTGGGTTTTTCTTTGTGCTTGTTCTCCTTTTCCGTGACATGCGTGTGGACGTAGCGTGTGTGATATAACCCGTGTTATCAGGGAGAGCACTGAAGGAGGCAGTGAGTGTGTGTGTGCCGCTGACACAGCCAGCACAGCGTGCGTGGCGTTGAGATCTCCCTGTCGCAGATTTGCTTCTTGCACAGTCACCCCTTTCTGAGAATAAACAGCTGCTCTTGGGTTTTGTAAACAGGCACAAGCGAGATCACTTTGGAGGAAGACTTTGCTTTCTTCCCCTCAGCTAGTTACTAGGAATAAAAGGCAGTAAGGAACAGAAGATGCAGGTGGGAACCGCTCCGTCGTGAGGTGGCACCTCAGAGCACCATCCCCGCCTGGGTGGCAGCTGTAGGGTACATCTGGGAGAGGAGCCGAGCTGGTGCTTTCTTTGTCTCTGCGTGGTGCAGAAAGGCACTCACTTCGATTTCGTTTCCATCGTTTTTGGGGCATGTGGAGCACATTAAAGTGGTGCTTCTGTTATTTGCTTTCCCCCAGGGAAGCTGTAAAATTCCACGCGAGTCAAGTCGCATCTTCTCAGGCTTTGCTGTAGGGCTTGGGGGTGAATGGGGTGTGGGTTCTGCCCTGGGAGCCTGACCCTGCACTAATGGACAGGCCTTCCACAGCCTGGAAAACCCCCTCCCCCTCCGCTTAAATCAGGTTTCATTTGTGTGGTTCCTCCGACGCCACAATCTTACTGACTGATTTCAGAGCTTTGCTGGTTCTTTATGCGCCATTGGCTTGAGGCTGCTGCACAGCTGCTTTTTTCATTGGGTCGATTTAAAATGTAGATAAATAATGAACTAACCTGAGAAATCCTTTTTAAATAATAGTACCTTGGGGCTAATGACACTCGCATTAAGAGGTTGCTGCATTATTAATGCAATTTGGAAACTGAATAGTAATCTAAAGGAAACTAACATCAAATTTTTGACCTATTATCCCTGGTGTGAGTGTTAGGCTCTGTAGGCTAATCTAGCACTCGCCTTGAATTCTGTGTTTCTCCAGGGAGGAGCTGGAGATAGGGTGAAGGTCTCGACAGATGTTTAAATACTAGGGTGTATCAAGGACAGCAAATGTGAATTTAGCCTTTGGGTTCTTGCCAGGCTGTTTGGGCAATAATTCTATGTGGTGACCTGTGACCACACATTTCACCTAGCAACGGGGTCTGGGAAGGTAGAACTTGGGGTTGAGCTGCAGCCTGCCTGTGAAAGGAAGATAGTGGAGGGATAAAGGCACCGAGAAAACAAAATAACCTGCAGTTAAATCCTTGGGGGGTTTTCCACCAAGACCAGCGCTGCAGGGAAGGGCTCTATTACAGTTTTCTGGAAAAAGCAAGTGAGCCTGTGTGCGCTGCGTTGCGGGGCCGTGTTCCTTACCCCAATGGCTCTGTGCCTGATCTGATCACAGACTGCTTTGGCGGGACGAAGGAAAACAGAGAACTTTGACCTGATAGTTTCTCTTGAATATTAAACCACGCTGATCCTTTGCCGTGGCGCATGAGCAGCGTATGACTTCGGAAGTGGCAGAGCATCAAGAGCTAAGGCTGATTCCAAGAAGGAAAGCAAAGTATGTGTTGGTGCTACTTTGAGTGGGAGCCTGTGAGCTAACGTGGTGAGGACGGGTGGGAAGCCAAGCTGGATGGAGTGTTGATGGTATTGCAGGCACAAAACACCAGTGGAGCGTGGCCATCGTGAGGATGGCTCCCACGCTGCTGTGTTGGAGCCTCTAGCAGTGGGTCTCTGTCTTGCTCAGCCTCATGCAGTGTGCTGCATGTCACATCAGCAGTGTCTGTGTGTCCTGGGGCGGAGGACAGACTGCTGGTTGGTGTGGAGACACAGCTGCCTGCTGCAATTGCAGCTTTTTGATGACTAACGGTAAAAAAAAAAAATTAAAAAAAAATTCTGAGAATTGGAGTATGAACCTCTGCTTCCAAAAGGCTGTTTATGCAGTTGACTGCTGGAATAAGGGGTAAGGAGGTTTGTAGCCAGCCCAGCATCTGATCTTCACCTTGCCTTCCCAGTGCTGGTTTTGGGCAGGGTGGGAGGGATGGTGTATTCTGTCGTGGCAGCTCGGCCATGGGGAGTCACGCTGCTTTCCTTCAGCCATAACTCTGC